GAAAAGGAATATGTTCAGATATTATTTTCGTGCCTCATAATATTTATCCAAGTTTTATATGGCTGCATAGATCTTGAAATTATATTTCTAATGAAATATTATAATATTAATTCCGAGCTATAACGAAAAGGATATGAAAGAAATACGAAACTCTATCCAAAACTGACACCCTTTCACTATTTCGGACATATCGTTTTATATAAATAAGATTTTAATCTAATTCTAATTTTATTGAAAAGTAGACTTCAAGAGCTTTTCAACTAAATATTATATTCCTTATTTGGACTTCCGGATCAAAAGATATGATCAAAACAAAATCCGTAAAAATTGTTGTCCATTGAATTCTATTTCGATTCGAATTCAGATTCTTTTCTTAATTCTTCGACCATCTTTTTTCCTATAAATAGAGGTAATATATCTCCATCCACAATCAAAAATTCCCATCATCAATTCTCATCAAGAATCCCCTAATTCTCTCTATTCTCTCTCTTGAGCAATGTAGCTTTCTTCCTCTTTCTAAACCAACCCTTTTACAAACACAGTTCCGCATTCACAAGATCTAGACTAACAATTATAGTGCTAACCTTAACATGTGTTCTTTATCTTTGATTGTGGTTGATCTTATTTATGACTAACGATTGCCAATGGACTATTTTCACCTAGTAAATAGCATAAACATTCAAATTGGACAAAATTAATCAAGTTAGTTTGTCTCTTAGTCTTCCGTTCTATTTGGTCCTTGGGTCCTTTGTTTTTCATACCATGTCTAGCCATGCGATCATACCATGATTCTTAATAAATTCACCTAATCACACATGTTGAGTCGGCACACACTTTATCTTCAAGTAATGCACTATATTGTTAATGATCGTATACTAGGACCATGCATGCGTCATTTTACTTCGTAATAGGAATGAGTGGAGTATTTCCCATTGGTTTTCAAAATTCTTTCATACACTCTTCCTTTCCAATCCGAGTATTGAGTCAATGCACTAACTGAGCTCATTTTGTTCCAAAGAACTCGAGTTCAAGAATCACTAGGCAAGAGTTGGAAGAATAAGGGGGACGTCATTCCTTCCTTCTTTTCTTCCAATCAAAGCATCATCAATAACAAACTTCTTGACCCTATTGGAGGTAACAAGTAATTCATAAGCAACCATGAAGACGAAGCACAAGACAAGTTTTCATACAAGATTTCATGCTTTTTTCTTCTTTCATTTCAACCCTTTTCCTCTAATAAGTCTAGCATAGGTTCTCCTTATCCTTATGTCTATATGCCATGTTCCATCAATGAACATTTCTTTCCTTTGCATTCGATCATGTCATTTGCAAAAAAATAAAAAATAAATAAAAAAATAAATAAAATAAATTAAAAAAATAAAAAAAATAAAAAAAATTGCTGAACTAAACACAAGGTAGACTAATGATTTGGGCACCTTTGCAACTAATTCATTCCCTTTAAACCATTTTCAAACACTCATTCCATTTCTTCGTCAACCACTTTGAGCCTCGTCTAACGATTGACCTTATTTATTCAACCCACAACTACTTAACCTTGGGAAGGTAAGGTGTGCAATTTGTGTAACAGTAAGAAAGCAGGTTCAAATAAAAAGAAAAAAAAAGAAAAAGTAAATAAAAAACAATGTTTAAAGGCAAGTGTTCCAATGTCTTCGATATGAACACGTCTCGAATTGCGTCTCTCATTGAGTGCTTGGTACCGTGCCTGAGAAACATGAATGCTAAGTGAGTGATGGACCGCATGATCCAAGATTGCCTACATTGATTCAAAAGAATGAAAAAAAAAGAAAAGAAATTTAAAACAAAAAAAAAATATGAAAAATAAAACTTGCGAATTCAAAATTTTCAAAATACACAATTACACATCTCAGGGGGATTCTCTGGGGTCTTAAGCCTTTCACCCTTTATTATTCACCTATAAGCTTAACCACTTTACAACCCTCGAAAGACCTCTTTGAGGTGTACATACACTTGTGCAAAGTTTGGTTAGAGCTACGTTCGGCTTGATTCCTAATGGATACGTAGGCAACCTCATATCGAGGTGCAGCCACATTCATATGCATGATCGAGTCATAGAATATCCATTGCTTATCCCTACCCATTTAGAGCTAGACTTGGGGGCTTGAACCCACATCACTTAGCTTACCCAGCCTAAAGAGTCACTATCTCGACTCTTCTTACATTTCTTTCCATCACCATAACCCTTGCAGCCAGCCTTAGTATCACTTTCACACACTTTACTCACACATCCATAACCATATCATCCTTCCCTTACGAACCCTTTATCATGAAATCTTGTTCCCCTATCGTGCATGCTTCATCATCTTTCAAGACAACATTCAAACTTTGTATACTTGCTTAGCTTCCTAACCTGAGTAATATTCATTGTTTCACGCATCGCATTTTGTGCTTAGCTTCCTAACGTAAGAGAAATTTATCAAAGATTTGTAATCATACAAAGCATATCGTGCTTAGCTCCTTGACTTAAAAACATTCATTATACAATACTCATCGATCACTTCATCTATATACGTGCTTAGCTTCCAGACCTAAATGACGTTCAAGATCGCTTCTTTACACCATATATGATGCTTAGCTCCATGACCTAAGTTCATTCATCTATCGTGTCACATGATGTAATTGTCCTTAGCCTCCCGGCCTAAGAACATGCATCATGCATACATTATTTTCAAGACAAGCAATTCAATCTATGCGATTCATTTCATCTTGCTTGACAAGGAAGTTCAATACTTCTCCCCTTTTTCATTTTTTTTGGGGGGAAGTTCAAAAACATTTTCAAAATTTTCATCGAGGGAAGTTCGAAAACGAAATTTTTTTCTCGTCTTTCTTTTTCAGTAGAAAGTCGGTACCCTCCACTCATCTCATGACAAAAATGACGAATTTTTTTTTGCTTTTGCATTTTCGGTTGCTTGTTTTTTCACACACACAAAAACTATATATACATATACACACACAACCACAAGTCATACACATTTCATGTCATGTCAAGCTTGGTCAAGTTAGTTGGTCAAGTCAATCACAGTATATACGAGTCCTTTGGTAAAATTTCATTTTGCAGGTCTAAATTACAACCCATGTTCGGGGACAAGCGAACCATCTACAACCCACGTTCGGGGATAAGCGAACCATCAACAACCCACGTTCGGGGACAAGCGAACCATCTACAACCCACGTTCGGGGACAAGCGAACCAACTACTGCCCACGTTCGGGGACAAGCAAACCATCTACAGCCCACGTTCGGGGACAAGCGAACCATCTACAACCCACGTTCGAGGACAAGAGGACCATCTATAGCTCACGTTCGGGGACAAGCGGACTATTTACAGTCAACGTTCAGGGACAAACGAACCATTTACAGCCCACGTTCGGGGACAAGCAAACCATTTACAGCCCACGTTTGGGGACAAGCGAACCAACTACATCCCACGTTCAGGGATAATCGAACCACCATCATTTCATGGCGCAAGGTTCTCGATACACAAAGACTTGCAATCTCATCATCAGACAAACCTTTCCTCAAGCATGGAGAGTGTCATCTGGTGGATTTCTTCAAGCATAGAAACTTGCCAAAATCATCTGTCGACTATCCTCAAGCATAGAAAGTATTATCCGGTGAATATCTTCAAGCATAGAAAGCCACCAAATTCATATGTCGACTTTCCTCAAGCATGGAAAGTATCATCCGGTAGATTTCTTCAAGCATAGAAAGCTACCAAACTCATCAGTCGACTTTCCTCAAGCATGGAAAGTATCTCAACAAACATCATCCGGTGGATTTCTTCAAGCATAGAAAACTACTAAGCTCGTTTTCCACCGATACACTGGTGACTTAATTATAAGCATTCTATCTTTATTCTTTTATCTGTAGAACTAACATTTTTCTGCAGGTATCGGCGTATAAAAAGTGATTTAGGATTGCAGAACGTCTTAAATCATTCTCCATCCCTATCGAATACTTTTACTTTCGTTTTCAAAACTGACGTTTCTACAAACTCAGTCAAAGTGGGGGCTTCTATAGACACCTAAAAATGTCTCCCCAAAACCAAACTCGATGATGAACAACCTTTCACCGCCACTATTGGTCGGGTTGAGTATGTAATCTTTGGAGTGCTTAAATCCTTGTTCATTCCCAATACATTTCATAAACCAATCCAATACCTATCCCATTTCACCAAACCATAACTTATTTTCCTCTTTTCGTGCCTTTAAACCCAAAATAATTCATTTCATGTCCCTTAAAATCATTCATTTCGTGTCCTTTTTATAAAAACGTTTAGGACAGTTTATATTGGTCCATAATTTGGGTCAAATTATTAAATATTTGGATGGGGTTTGAAAAGAGCTTTCCAACGATATATTATAAGCCCAAATCCGGGTTATAATGAATAAATTATGGCCAAAATACTAAAATGAGTCCAAACCGAACCTAAGTCCACCTTACCTACGACCCAATGATCATGTGGAGGGTCCAAAGGCTTTAATCCCATTACTAATCCAATTAGGAATAATTATATGAAAAATTAGAAATAATAATCCCAACTTTCACTAGTAGAAAAAACGTTATTGGAAGCGGTTCTGAACCGCATGGGTTTAGGGGGCTTGCCAATTGCCATGTAAATGGCAAGCGGTTCAGAACCGCTTCCCAGTTGGGGGGAATGACAAGCGGTTTGGCGCCAAAACCGCTTGCCATTTGTATATTTTTTATTTTTTTATTTTTTATTTATATATATATATATATTAATTAATAATAATAATATTATTAATGACCTGTTTTGATATGCACATTAATCTGTAATTTTAAAAATTATTATTATTAATATTATTATTAATTAATATTAATAATTAATAATAATTAATTAAAAATATTACAAATTTAAGAATAATAATTCAATAACAATAAAATGCATAATAATAATAACATATATAAAACTCATAAATAATATATAGTACTAATTACAAATAAGTAATATAATGTACATATATATTTAAAAAAAATAAAAAAGATAGGAACTAAATATTAATTGTTCATAAAAAAAAAACTCAATCTCATTCATTATCTAACTAACACATATATATTATATATTCTACCTAGATGCCATCAAATGTCACAAAAAAGCCCACATGTCGCGAATTTCATCAACTTCTTCCCTTGTCAAAGGGCCTTCCCTTTGAATCTTACAAACCTTTGGAAAGAAAAAAAATACCAAACGTAAAAATCATTCATATATTACATAAAATTAAAACTAATAATTAAAAAATAATAATGTATATGTTAAATATTTCAAACATAATTCTAACTTGCCCGATTCAGCATTCTACTAAGTTTTAGGACGGCTTTTACCAAAAATCGCCTATTTGACTTCTTACTTGCCTGATTTCTACTTTTCTTATCTAATGAGCTATTTCTTTATCATAACATGTCAATTATAACTAGTCTTAGGTGTCTAATGTTTGAAATCATAGCAAATTAGCATTTTACTAAGTTTTAGGACGGCTTTTACCCGAAATCGTCTATTTCACTACTACTTTGCCCTATTTCTACATTTCTTACCTAATGACCTATTTCTTTATCATAACATGTCAATTATAATTAGTCTTAGGTGTCTAATGTTTGAAATCATAGCAAATTAGCATTCTACTAAGTTATAGGACGACTTTTACCCAAAATCGCCTATTTCACTACTACTTTGCCCGATTTCTACATTTCTTATCTAATGAGCTATTTATTTATCATAACATGTCAATTATAACTAGTCTTAGGTGTCTAATGTTTGAAATCATAGCAAGTTATCATTCTACTAAGTTTTAGGACGACTTTTACCCAAAATCGCCTATTTCACTACTACTTTGCCCGATTTATACATTTCTTATCTAATGAGCTATTTCTTTATCATAACATGTCAATTACAACTAGTCTTAGGTGTCTAATGTTTGGAATCATAGCAAATTAAAATTCTACTTAGTTTTAGGACGGCCTTTATCCAAAATCGAACCGAAAAAAGTAAAAACAAGTACCTCCTCAATGTGTTGGGCTTCAGTGCACCTATTGACTATGTCATGCATAAACCTCATCACGTACAGGGCACAATCAGCGTCGTTGTCTTGTTGCGCACATTAACATGACACAAAGTTAAAATAGTCATGCATAGCCATAACTCAAAGCAATTTTATTAAATAAATCAATATATCAAGGCTTTACCTTCAAATATTTCCACATGGGACCCGCAACCGAACGACAATTCAACTTCTTCATAACACTTCAAAAAAATAAAAAACAAAAAATTTAGGAACATAGCCACTCAATCACTTAGGTGATGATACAAAACAATATATAGGAAGTGGTATGTACCTATTCAATAGGTTATTCACTAGCAACTTCCTTGGTGGCCATATACGAGCCGAGTCAAAGTAGAGAGATTGTGTTATTGGAAACACAAATCACCATAAGGCTCCAATGTAGACTACATATATATTAAAGAAAATATAAATCCATCAATTATTATGCGTCAACATCTATACTTAACAAACAAATTAAGAGTGACATATTTAAACTTACTCCTCAAAGCAAGGGGCTAATATGAACTTGTTTCCCGCACGCATTGATTCTCTAATACCCCGCTCAAGGTAATCTATCACATCACGAGGGTTATGCAAGCATTTGGTTACGAAGGTCTGCTCGGGGCATAACCACCCAACTGCTGCTTCACCATCGGGTTTACTACTTAGGAGCTCCTGTAGTGACCTTCAAGAAAGTAACGTGTGCAAGTAATTACTAGTTGCATTGTTTTGGTACGAAAATATCAAAAATACAATATGTTTAGAAATAGTCTCGTTAATTTACCTCATGAAAGTTTGAATGATGGAAATGTTAAGCATGGAACCGGTTAGAAATTCCGTCACATCCTCTCTAGAAATGTATGCGATCGCATCCTCATCATAGTGGAACAATGCCTTAGGCAAGTTCACTTGAATATGTGTACCCGTAGGAAACTCACTAACACGGTTGTGAAGAAAAGTACATGCTTTCGAAAGCGACCTAAGGACATTGGCTTCTACCAGTGGAGTACATGAAGCTCTCGAACACTTCTTTGACACTTGTCCTTGTTCCATCTTCGGAGGACCTTCTTCCTTGGATTTTGGCTTATCCACCTTCTTCCTTTTAGCGGACTAATTTTCCATAGTAATCTAGTAACATAAAAGAACATGGTCATTGCACAAAGCACATGTTAATCTAGTTACATACAAGTAGTGTTTACTTACCCCTCCTATCAACCTCAACCGATCATGTGGCCATTGCACAAAGCTCCCGGTCTCGTCACGCAGTTTAAAAATAATCATATTCCTCTCTAGGCACCGGTAGTGGTAAGTCCTCAAACCCAGCAATTATAGAATCGATCCCGATTGAGATGTAATGGGTGCTAGTATTAGACTTAAAATGGACCTTGTCAAAAGGTTGTGCACTACCATACCCCACCAACTGCAACTGTCCACCGATGTTTTCCTCGGGGTGAAGAAGCTCACAAGGCGTCTCTTCCTACATATTTGATTAGAAGTTAGGACATAAGTTATGAAATAACAAACGAAAGCCTAACATAAGAAAAGCTGATTACGTAGTGAAGTTTACCTTAACATCTGGGAAAGGTTCAGGCATCAGATTTGCTCTCTTCAATGACTCTGCATCCATAGGACTAGGATCCTGCAAAAGTAAAATAATTAAACATGCAAACGACGTCATTTGACGAACTTCATATGACGTAATTCGTCCTTGTACTAAAAATACCTCTCTCTCAACTACTGGATCGTCCTCGGGGCCTCCTGGGTGACTACATGAGTCTACTGGGGTACTCGAGGGAAATGGAAAAAGCGGCAAGTTCATGTGCTTCAGAATGGCATTGAATTGACTTTGCATCTGTTCTTGCAGCTCCACGCGTATCTCCGCCTTAATTGATTCCTTTTCCTTCTCATCAATCCGATGTGGAAAATTAATACTTGATCTGCTTTTTCCTGATTTGGTGTATTCTGAACCCATCACCTTTTCCCACCCTAGTTGTTTCCCACCAAAACCAATTACTCGCCCAAGGTGGTATGGTTTTCCCAAAGCTAAGGTGAAAGGATCATGTTCGATGCTTGGAGTCAGCTTGCCTTCAATCACTTCCGAAGTATGCTCGAGCTGTAACAACACAAAAATTTATCAGATCTAAGTACCATTTACTTGACAAGGAAATATAATTAATAAGTAGAAAAGTTTTCTTACAAGTGCATCTGCTACTACTTTCTTATCCGGTTGCATGACATACTTGCCGGTTTTCTTGTCCATCCCATGCATAGCGCACCACCAGTCAATTGCATGATTAACCAAAGTTGTGACCGTGGAAGAAAGTGGTTTATCAGTTGATGACATTATGGATTTGGGGTATAGACCCGCTTTCACCCACTTTGGTCTAGACTCCGCAAAGGTCTTACAACCCATATGATGGCTATACAATTTCTTTCCGGCATTGGTTCTAGCTTGTTCGCTTTTTTCCTACACATTCAGAAATATATGTTAGCATCAGTCATTGTAAGAAACTAAATATCAGTAGCCGACTCTATTGATAAATAAACACATACAAGTGCGGTCCTAGTGGAAGATTTTTCCACAAACTTCTCCCAATCCTTGACCGTTATTTGTGGATGTAAATCCCACGGTTTCTTATCAGGTTTCTCCTCTTCTCCATCATCAGGCTCAATTTTCTTTGGTCTTCTCCTTCTTTTCTTATGGATCCATCTCGTCCTCATGTAACTCTTGAAGTTTTTGAATCTCTCTTGCACAAAAGCTTCAAAGACTTTTCTCTTGGCCGGCTCATCAGGAATATGGAACATACTCTGTAATTGGCGCAAACATCCACGTTAGGCAAGAGAAAAAAAATGAACAAAAAGGAAAAAAAACCCGGGAATCGGGGCAGCACCGCTGCATCAACCCAGGCAGCAGCCGAGGCAGCTGCAGCACCCAGGAAGCAGCCCCAGGCAGCTGCTGGCTGCAGCCCTCGGGTTAGGCCCGGGGGTTGTTTTTGTAATTTTTTTATTTTTTTTTTGCCAACATATATATTAATTAAAAATAAAAGTGTGATCGGTATTAATTAATAATATATTAATCACTATATTAAACCCCGTGCAATGCACGATTGTTAAGTAATTCTAGAGACAATAAATTTTACCAAAAATAATGAATATAAATATTTTAAATAGACTTAGTACGTAGTTAAAAGTATGAAATATTGTGAAAGAAATACTTACCATTGTATCGTCCCAAAATGTTTGAAGCAACCCGTGAGGTATATCGGAAAACTCAAGTGTGATTGGTATTTTACGAGTTAGAATGCCAACTTGACTAGAAAATTTGTCGCGCCATTGGCCAGTAGGGTGACCTAACTCATCAAACTCAAGCACCATAGGAACGCCGGATTTCTTGAAAGCTTTAGTTGCATCCCTACTCCTTCTGTTCACCGGTGGCTTTACCCCTCCTCCACCATCGGTTGTTTTCACTTGGATTTGCATTTGAGTTTCACAATGTGAATCACCTACAACTTCGGAAACCACATTATCATCAATAGGTGGGGCAGTTTCAGCTATACGCTCAAATTCATCAAGCTTATGTTGGAACTCGTCATAAGCTTGGTCTTCCGGTTCCCCCATATCCGTCTCCTTATTAACATCGTACAACTCGTCATCATCATCATCATCTATATCCTCATCAGAATGAAGGTTCTCATCAAGATCCATGATATGTGCACACCTACACTAAACAAGCAAAGCATGTTGTTAGTCATTAGTAATGGCAATCAAATCCGAGGCACGAAGAAAGACAAACACTTACCCAACTTCTTTGGTTTCATAACAAATTCACATATAATCCTCTAAACAATTCATATATTTAGTTCATATTACATGCTTATACGTTGAAAATGCAAAAAAATAAAACACTTCCTGAAATAAAGGTTGTTGGAGCATAAGATATTTAGTAAATAAAACATGCATCAATAAAAGTACCTCATTCGTGTATTCCCTCATTGTGGTCAGATCGAATATAAGTAGCATCATCATCTACATCAGTTGCTACATCAAGTGTAGGAGAAGTGAAAGGGGGAGAATCATCAAATGCATCATATTCTTCCTCGTCCTCAACCTCTCCAACCCCTAAAATTCTCCTTTTGCCAGCCAGGACGATGGACCATTTTGGATCGGACGGGTCAGTTACATAGAACACTTGCTTAGCTTGAGATGCAAGGATGAATGGTTCAAGACTATCCTGCAAGTGGCCAAGATCTACAAGAGTGAAGTCATCATTTCTGACATTGTGCCTATTATTATCGACCCATTTACACTTGAATAGACCAACCTTGAAGTCTCGGTAATCTAGTTCCCATATTTCCTGAATTTGTCCATAGTATGATAATAGTGCGTCAACTGGTGATGTATCCTTCGCACTTGCAAACTCTCTTGATGAAGCCACAAGAGTGACACAACTATTTTGAGTCGATGAGGATTTCTGATCCCGACTTTCAGTCCAAAATGTGTACCCATTTATATCATATCCCTCAAATGAATGAACATCTTCCTTTGGACCATAAGCTAGCTACTTTATTGTATCAGACACAGTCTCATCCAATTGACGCATCACACGATCATGGAACCACTTCACAAACATCTTATTATGCAACTGCATTAGTGCTCTTTCCCCTTTTGATGGATATTCAACACGCAAACTATACATGTGCTCTTCTAAATATGGGTGAACCTTCGCAATATGATGAAGCACAAATAAGTGAGCTTGCATGATTTGATCTGGAGAAGCCAATAGGTTCGGCAACGGCAACATACTCTGCCACGAACTTCCCAATCTCCTCGGACACAATTCCTTGTATCATACTGCCTTCCGGATGGGCTGGATTTCTTACTTTATCTTGAAGTGTACCCATGTGTCGTTCAAAAGGGTAGCATTACCTCATAAATACTGGACCGCACAACTTAATCTCACGAACCAAATGCAGAATCAAATGCATCATTATGTCAAAAAGTGAAGGTGGGAAAAACATCTCAAATTTGCACAAAGTTACCACAACATTCGCCTGGAGAGCATCAAGTGTAAAGGGATCAAGAACTTTGCTGCAGATAGTATTGAAAAACCCACAAAGGCTTGTTATATTTCTCTCACGTGCTTTGGTAAAATACCACGAATTGCAATCGGTAGGAAAACTTGCATCATCATGTGACAATCATGGGATTTCATACTTGTCAACTTCAATTCTCCATTTAAGGAAATAAACCTTTTCATGTTTGATGAGAACCCAGATGGAAGCTTAATGTCATATAAACAAGCACAAAACCTCCGTTTTTCTTCCTTTGATAATG